ACTCAAATTTTCAGATGCCACTTCTTGGTCCCTCACCCACTACTTGCTGCCACCTTCCATTCCCATTCCAACCTGGTCATTCAAATGAGTAGGTGAGAGACACCCACCCCAGAACGGGCCAAACCAGTCAGATCTTTACAAGGCGGGGTGGTTACCTTGCCCTACTGCAGCCTTGGATTTGGGAGGTGATGGTGGCAGCAGTGGGATAAGAAGCCAGAAAGGAGCTAGCAGAGAGGAATTGACCAAAGATCAGTTCCCTGCTTTTCCCCAGAAACTCCTTGCCCCTTCCCCACCCTACCATGATCCAAAGGCCCTCTCTACAAGTTGCTGAGAGAGGCCCCAAGTCACCCTGCAATTATATAAATAAATAAATACTGAGCCCCTGGGTTTGGGGGACAGGCTGGGGAAGGGGCAGCAGGGATAGAGGAAAGGAAAGAGGAGAGGAAGGGGAGGGGTCACAGACATAGTAAATAGTTGTCTCCGTCCCAGCAACACTTCTCTCTGGATTTTTCTCTCCTTTTTGTGTTTGTTTAACAAGGAGCTAACATCTCAAGGACAAATACTTAAAAATATACATTATTTTTTCTTCTTTTTTTTTTGTTCTCCTTTCTCATCGTCATCTTGCTTTGGAGACTGCTGAGGTCAAAGTTCAAACCGCATGAAGGAACTGCGGCTTGGAGTTTTTGTGTATTTTTTTTAATTTTTATTTTTTAATTTTTTTCACTTTTTTTTTCCAACATATAAAAAGGTAGCGGAGTTGTCTGTGGGTTTTTTTTTTTAATGGTTAAATCTTTGGTTTGTTTCTTTTTTCTCTTGGAGGCCTTTATCTCTCGCACTTGCCTTTCCCACTCAGAGGCCAGTGGGGGCCCGCGTGTCTCAGTCTTGCTCAGTCTGTCTCACTCTCTCTCTCACTCAGTTCCCCCTACCCTGGGCTAAAGGGAGACAGAGGCACCCTGGGATTTGGGTGGGTGAGGAAATCTAGCCAGGTCTAGAGGTTCCCTTGACCTCGTCCCTTACCCCATCTTCCCAGGGTACAGGGCTTGGAGACCCTCTCTTGGCCTTCCCCAGGGAGGAGATGTGTGGGAAACTCAGCCTTCCCTTCCCTCCTCCTGATCTCAGCCCCAGTTCATACAGGGGCTTGGATTCCTCTTCTCCACCCATCTTCAGTTACCCACTCCAGCCCTCCCTCCTACTTCCAACCTCCCAGAAGAGAACAGAGAGAGGTGTTTTCATTACTGGCATTTTTTTTTTTGGCACAATTAAAAGGCCCACCATTAGGTAGACCCAGTCTCTGTCTCTCCTTCAAATAGGAGGTCAGGGTTGGGGAGAAGAAAAATTCAGAAGGCTCCACTTTCTCCAATCCACTCATTATCCTCTCTAGCCCAGGTCCCTGGCCCCCTCCTCAGACATCTCACCTAGCCCAGAGCCTTGGCCTGGGGTCTCCCTCCCCAACCCCACATAAAGTCCCCCAGCCTCCCAACTCTCTCGCTCACACACAGACACACGGACACAGGCTCTGTACAGACCACAAAATAAAAACGATGAGATAGTTTTGTTTCCCGGAGTCAAGACGGGGGGACTGGAGTGGAAGGGGCAGAGGGGGGTGGGGGGTATGAATTCCCCCATCACCTTCCCAACCCTGGCTCCCTCCAGCCACCCAGCCCCTTGCCCTGGCTGGCCCCCAGCCAACGATATTTGGTTTCCATTTTTTAACATTAAAGTTCTATGAGGTATTTGGTGCCTTATCTCGAGTCCTCGGGGGAGGGGGGCCCAGGGGGGGAGACCTGGGGCACACTTGCCCCTCCCTCCCTCCCACCCCCTTCCCAATATTTGGTTTCACAGCTGTAGTTAAAGCTTGGGATTTGGTTATTTTCCCCCTCCCAGGAATTTTCCTTTTTTCTTGTTTTTCTTTTCCTAGTTATGGGGGTTGGATGGGGAGGGTCCCCACCACCCCGGCTGCACGGGGGTCCCTCCACCAATGTCAGGGCATTGGCCCCATCCCTGCCCCCTGCTTCCTCCTCTCCTCTCTGCCCCACTCCTGGTACACTGGGGTAGGGGAGAGGTCCCAGGTGGCAGAACTTGATGGGGAGGAAGCAGGATGAAGTGGGTGGTGGTGAGTCCTGGATTTTCTTTCCTTTTTTTTTCTTTTTTTTCCTTTTTTTTTCTTTTTTTTTTCTTTTTCTTTTTTTGGTCTAGAATCATAGTTTTTGTTTGAGTCATCTCCACCATGCCTTCCATGCTGCCTGTCTTCTTGGAGGGGTTTTTGGTTGTAATTCTTTTCACTTGGCTCTGCTCAAATGTCCTTCCTATCTGTTCAGGAGCCCTTGGCCCCCTCTCCACCCTTGGGCTGGGGCCTAGGCCCTCTTGCCAGTCCCTTCTCTTCAGGAAATAAAAATGGACAAACTCAGAGGTAGGGTAAGGGCAGGGAGTCGGTTCAGCGGAGATGCTTACATTCTGGCGAGGATGGGTCGATGGCTTGCCAGGCCCCATCAGTGCCAGGGTGGGAGGGGCAGCCACTCCACCGCTGCCCAGACAAGGCACCCCAAGACCCCCGAAACAGCCGAGTCTCTGCTGTCTCCGTGGCCCAGCCCAACAGTTTCATTTCCCGGGTGGGAGAAGGGAGACAAGAAAGAAAGACAGAACGCTGAGGCCTCGGGGCCCAGGGTGGCTTCTGTCCGAGGCTCCGTCTTCCTCTCCTCGGAGTGTCCAGCAGCACCGCCCATCTCCCAGGGCTCTCCCCTCCCTCTGCTCCTGCCCAGCGAGGGGCGGGGGCCACTCTGATTTCAATGGCTCGCGTCCTTCACAGCAAGACTTTGGTTTGAGGAGAGACACAGAAAGAAGGAGATGGAGAGAGGTGAGAGAGGAGAAAAGGAAGAGGGGGAGAGAGAAAGGAGACAGGAGAGAGGACAGCCTGAAGAGAACAGAAAAAGAACTCAAAGGAGGAATCAAACCACCCAAAAGTTTGTTAGTTTTCCTTCGTCCATTCTTTTTTGCTTTCTTATTCCTTTTTTCCTGTTTTTTTTTTTTAAAGCTTTTTCAGTTGATTGGGGGGGGTGGGGAGCTTGGGGCTCTTCACCCCTGTCCCTGACACCCTCTCTCAGCCCTGCCCACCCGCTTCCATCCACCCTGGCTGAGGGACAGGCCCTGCCCCAGCCGCCCCCCTCCGGCTTTCCCGAAGACGACGTCCATGAGGTATTTGTGAAGAGAAAGAAGCATCCGTCCTTCCATCCGCCTTGGGGACCAAGGGCCTGGACCACTGGTGCAGGGGCTTGGCTCCACCTCGCGGCTCCTTCTTATTCTTTGAAGAGTCCTCGTCTTCTTTCCCTTAAATATATATATATCTATAAATTCTTTTTTTTTCTAGTTTTAATTTATTGTTTGTTTGGTTTGTTTTTGTTTTTGGTTCAAAACTTTGTTGGCCTCCACAACAGCAGGAGGGCAACGTGGCTCCCAGCAGCGTCTCTCCTCTGTCCGCCGAGATGTGTCCAGGGCTGGGCAAACACAGGGTCCAGCCAAGACTCAAGGGAGGTCTTATGGGAGTGGTGGCCACCACAGCGCCCTCTCGGGTGGGGACCACGGGTCATGGCACTGTCCCCGCCACAAAGACCCTGATGGGGACGCCATCTCGAGGAACCCCACCACTGGGGTGCGTGCGTGTGTGCATGTGTGTTAGGGGAGAGGAAGAGGCATCTGCCAGTATCGGAGGGGCACAGGGTGGGAAGAGCGAGGTGAGTTCTCTTTTTGGTTTCTGGTCAATGTCAAAGAACGTGAAGGATCCCACGGATAGGCACTGGAATATGAATTTTTTTTTCAAAGAAACTGACAGACAAGGATGGGAAAAAAAGACAACTTGAATGCCCTCACCTCATCCCCTCTTGCCTGAAATTTCCACCTTCCCATGAGCTAGGGATGGGGGTAGATTCCAGAGCAGAGGAGGGTGACAGGGTTAAGGGGGGACGTGTGGGAGCTAGAACTTGGCAAAACAGCCTAGCTCACCCTCCAGAGGGAAAAGGGTTAGGTACAAGGGGTGAAAAGTCATCCCAGGCCTTCCCCTGAACTCTCCCCTGGCTGGGGGAAGGAGGAGGTTAAAGCAAGGCCTCCTGCCCAGGTAGGGAGAGCTGGGGGCCAGGGAGAGGGGGGACACATGATAGGGACACATTCTGTTGAGCGAAACGCTAAAAATTCTGTACATCCTTTGGATGAAGCTACTGAATATTTGGTGTAAGGTTGTTCAGGCCCTTTCTCTTTCACCTTCTGGAAAAGAATATTTGGTGGGTGGTTCTGAGCCTACCCCATCGGCCCCAGGCTGTGCCCTGTCTTCGCTGGCCCAGAGCTGGGGGCTGGGGCTGGGAGGCTGGCACATTCTCTTTTTCCTTCTCTGCCCCCAATAGGGGAGGCTTGGCCCCACAGCCAGGGGCTCCATGAGGTCCACCCTGCCAAGGCTTCTCTGCCCCTGGCTGGGGTTCTTATTTGGTGTCGTAGCAGTGAGGGTGAGCACACCGAGGTCTGGCTCGAGACTGGTTTTTGGTTTGTTTGGTTTTGTGAGGGATTTTTTGTTTGTTTTTGGTTTTTTTTTAAATGTTTGTTTTTCACCTCTGGTTCCTTTGGGGCAGCTGGTTTCTTTGTGATTATTTTTGATTTTCTTTTCTGTTGGTTGGCTTCCTTTCTTTCTTTCTTTTTGGTTGGTTGGTTTTTGTTGTTGTTTTGTTTGTTTTTTTGGTCTTTCCTCCCTTGTCACTCCTGCTCCGAGGACCCTCTGCGCCCCCACCGTTGGTCTCCTCGCCCTCTTCCCAGGCGGGGGACGGAGGCAGGGGTCAGAGGAGTAGGAGGGGAGGCATGGCGGGCCCTCACTCAGGCTTGGACCCTGCCTCGGGCCCCCCTGGGCCTCCAGGGGTCTGTGCTGCCCCCTCACTGCAAGTGGAGGAGGAGGACGAGGACGAGGACGAGGAGGAGGAGAGGCCAGGAGACTTGCTGGAGATGGAGGCTGCCACGGCTGCAGCGGCTGCAGAGACCAGGCCCACACCTGGAGGAGCACTGAGCAGGGGCAGCCCGGCATGGTTCAAGAAGAGTGGTGAGGTCACCAGGCCCGGGCTCCCTGGGGCCGCGCCGGCCGCCCCCAGCACCAGGTTCCCACTGCTGTCAAGGCTGGTAAGGGGCAGGGTTCCACCAGAGGCCAGGGCTGGCGGAGAAAGAGAGAGGCGGAGCTGGGGGTGCCTTCCAGCATCCCACCCACAGTGCCCCGTCTTCCCATCTGCCCCACTGACCCCCATCAGCACCCCTCACACCTTCCCCAAAGGTGAGATGGTTTTGAAGAGGCGAGCGATGCAGTGAGCAGGGGCAGGATGGCATGGCTGGAGCTGCAATGGGGAGGGCTCGAGGCCCCGGGGGACAAGGCTGGTGACGATGGGAGTGACATGAGGCAGCACGCACCTTGGATAGTGGCCAAAGGGTTGTTGCTCATGAGGGCTGGACTCAGCCCGGAGCTCAACCCCACCATTGTGCTTCTGCAGGAGGCAAAGCAGAGGCATTAGCAGGGGCAGGGACCCTCTGGCAGAATTGGGGAGCAGCTCCCCACCCTGGAAGCAGCAGCAACCCTGCTTCTCCCACAGCCTCCCACCTGCAGCTGCCCACTTACCCCGTGCTGGGGGTCAGGCCCGACAAGCCGATAGCCGAGTGGCTGCCTTGAGGGCTGGGATTTGTGCTGTTGGTGGTGGCCGGGGGTGGGGGAGTGACAGAGGGGATGGAATTGAGGGGGGGCGCAGCCCCGCCCCGGCCCCACCCCCTCCAGCTGTCCGGCTTGGGTGGAGTGTCCCCACAGCTGAGGATAAGGTAGTAACTGCCAAAGAGAGACAGACAGATGGAGACTTCAGCTTCCACTTATCCTCCACCGAGGTCGGCTCCTGCCTGCCTTCCCTGCCCAGTCCCACTGATCTCTGTCAGAACACGTTCAGCCCTCCTGCCCTTTCTTCCTACAGCCATTTCCTTGTGCCTCTGCCACGGTGACAGCAACCACAGTCATCACAGTAAGAGCAGCTGCCACACACTGAGCCTGTGCCCTGTGCCCGGTGTGTGCTCACCCATTGCTTACCCAGCCCTGAACCTCACCTCAGGCCCCTTTATACAAAGAACCAGGGGTGCCCAGAAGACAGAGCCCTGTGGCTCTCTCTAGGGGCCAGACAGGGAAGTGCAGCTGTGCACGCTGAGGCTGAGACAGCTCCCAGCCCAGATTCAGGCCAGACACACAACCACATTTCCTGGCTCTGTCACATTCCAGCTGTGCCCTTGGGCAAGTACCTTCACCTCTCTGGCCTTCAGTTTCATCATCTGGGAAGTGGGGAGGATAACAGAACCTATCTCATAAAAAGGTGTGAGGGTTAAATGAGTCACTATTCTTTATAAAGAGTTTAGAACAATGCCAGGCACACCCTTACTACTCCATAAACTTCCACTTATTATTTCTTAACCTGCGAAGGGACAATATGGCGTTTGTTTTTATATTATTCTTATATATAGTGTTAAACATGCCGTACCCCAATAAGGGGGAAAGGAGGCCTCTGGGTACAAAAGTGTGTGTGTATATACACACATACACATACACGCACACACACATACACATCCTTGAATGTATATACTCAGGGATATAGCTTCTGTATGTATTATATATTCACAATAATTTTATAAAAACTGAGGTTCAGAGAAGTAAGGTCACTTACGGAGTTCACACAGTTTATAACGGCTAGAAAAAGAACTCAAGTTCATCCCCTTTTATCAACCCTATGCTTTTCTCATATGAAATTATGGAGCAAAAGAAGCCTGAGCTGCTCTGGCGGGGAGGGGTGAGGCTGCCCTCTCCCCTTTCCACTCCCATCCCGCTCCCATCTCCCCCAGGCTCAGCCTTGAGGCCCACAGATGCCCTGAGCCACTTGAGAACCTCAGGCTCAGGTCTGCAGTGTGTTCACCCAGCACCCCCACCTCCACCCCCGTCCTCTGCCCTCTCTGACCTGTTGTGCTCAGACTGCTGGAAGCTTGGGACAATGGCAGGGTCCCGGCGCCCCCCTGGGGTGTGACCTGGGGAGAGAGGAAAGAAGGTATAGTTAGGCCACTATCTTCCAGCAGCCCCCATGGTGCTCCCAGTGGGTACAAGCCCCATGCCTCTGCCTCTGGGATGGGTAAGAGAGGGATTTGGGGGGCAATGTTGTGTTTGTATCATGCCAGGTGCTTTCCATCAGCTTTCCTCACATTTGCCCTAGTTGAGCCACAAACAGGAGGAAGTCATTCCCAACTGAGTGCTCCCCCACCTCTCTTCTGACACAATCCAGTTGCAGGTATGATGTGTGTGTGTGTGTGTCTGTGTGTTCTGGGGATGGGTGAGGGGTTGCTATGAGGATAAGGCGTGTCTCTGTATCACAGTGTGGGACTGTCATATTGCTTGATTTTCTGGGACCATCCACTAGTCTCCTCCTTGGCCTCCCTGCCTCCAGTCTCATCCTGCCATCAACCCCAGAGGCCTCACTCTAAATGTGACCCAGTCCCTCCCTGTTCAAAACTCATCCTGGGCTCCTCAATGCCTGTGGTTCCAGTTTAAGTCCCTCAGCATACGACTTAGTGTCTGGCCCCTTCCTGTCCCCCACCCCTCCTCCACACTCATTCATAAACTTTCTGGCTCCAACCACACTAAATCACAGTGGAGTTCCTCAAACTGGGTTCAGTACACTCTGGCTTCCAGGCTTTTGTGCACATCGATCCCTTTGCCTGTTCTTCACATGGCTGGCTAACTCTCTCTTGTCCTTTATGACTCAGCTCAGATGGCCCCTCCTTCCTTCACATCATAGGCTCAAGGCTCCTCTGGGCCACTTTTGCTCCTCTCTGTAGAGTCATAGCCCTTTCCACAACTAGACAGAATAAAGGAAAGTCCCAGAGGGTCTGATCCTGAACAGGCCTGTGTGTGGCTGTGGACCCGAGTGCACACCCAGGGGTGTAATAATGTCCCTGCCGGTGTCTGTGGTTGTGAACATGTGTGTAAGGGGGGATGCCTGTATCCCCTACCTGGGATCCATCCCCGTGTGGGTACATCTTGTGATAACTCTATATTGAGCTATGTCAGTGTGGGTCTGTAGGAGCTTGTATCCCCATATAAGACCACAGAGCTCTGGGAACTTTGTGTCCCAGTGTGACTGTGCCCCTCCCATGTGACAACCCCCCAAGTGACTGTCCCTGCCTCCATTCTAGGCACTGTGGACAAACAGGTAGTTGTGCTTCATGCAAGGTGCCTGCCAAGGGGCAAAGATGTGCCAGAGCTCTGTACCCCCTTCTCTCACAGGGGCTCTCAGTACCAGATGGGGGCTGTAGCTGGCCGGCTTGCCCGGGCTGGGCAGCATGGGGGCTGCGCTGCAGGGGTTGATACGTTTCTCCTTTTGGCGCCGGTTGCAGAACCAGACGCGGATCACTTCCTTCTCCATGTGCAGCTGCTCTGCGATCAGCAGGATCTCCTCTGAGGTAGGCTTCTGGTTCTGTGGGCAGAGGGCTTGTTAGCCCTGGGCCCATCCTCCCGCCAGCCCTCAGGGCCACTCAGGAGGGTGGGGCCTCACCGCTAGAAAACTCTTCTCTAAGGCGAAGCGGACGTTTGTCTCGATGCTGGTCCTCTTCTTGCGTCTCCGGCCGGGGAGCCCATCGAAACCCAGGCTGGGGCTGCTCAGCTGGTTGGGACTGGGCAGGCTTGAGTCCACAGACATAGTCTCTGTGTCATGAAGGAGACGAGGGTATGAGAGGGCGCCTCCCTCCGCCTGCTGCCCGCCGCCCACCGCCAGCCCGGAAGCTCCAGCCCAAGACCCACCTGCGTCGTTGAGCCACTTCTCCAGGAGGGGCTTGAGTTTGCACATGTTCTTGAAGCTCAGGTTGAGGGCCTCGAAGCGAGAGATGGTCGTCTGGCTGAAGTCATTGCCATAGAGCTTGCCCATGGCCAGGCCCACGTCACCCTGGGCCAATGGGGCGGGGATGGGGCTGCGGTCAGGGCCGAGCAATGGGCTCAGCCCCGCCCACTAGATTGCCACGCCCTTCACCCTGCCCAGTAGGCTGCTATGCTCCTTCCCCCTGCCCTCCAGCCGGTCACACCCCTCACCCCATCCACCATAAAGCTACGCTCTCCACTCCGCCCACTAGATGAGTGTGACCGGTCACCCCGCCCATCAGCTGGTCACGCCTCCCTGTCTCCCCACGCCCACCACCTGTCCTGCCGGGTGGTCCCAGACCTGCGTGAAGCCCAACTTGATGCGGCGTTGCTTGAAGGTGCGAGCGAACTGCTCCAGCTCCTCCAGGTCACTGGGCTCCTCGGGGTGGGATGGTGGCTCCAAGCATTTGGGGGGCTGCGGGTGCGAGAGGTGCGGGTCGGGCAGCGTGGGGCGGGTCACGGCCTGGTGGGGTGGGCAGGTGGATGGGATACAGGACCAAGCACCAGGACAGGGCTCAGCAATGGCTGCGCAGTCCACCCTCTTCCTGCAGACTCCCCTCCACCTGCCCCCAGGAGACCCCCTCCATACTCCTTGCCAAGCCCCATCAAGATGACACTCTGCTGTCCTCTGAGGGTCCTCTCACTGCGTGGAACTCTTTTCACATTCCCTCCCAGCCTGCAGACTGCCAGGAGGAGCAGCCAGCTCCTTTCACCCAGGGGCTCTTTTCCAGGAGCTGGGGGTGGTGGTTTTATCCTCCTCTGGGGCAGGGAATCAAGGACTGGCTCTGCTACTGGATTGCTGGTTAACTCAGGCAAGTTTCTTTATCCCTCTGGGCCTCAGCATCCCCCTCTGCAGAGCTACTGAGGCATAATTATGGCTACTCTGCCTACCCCACAGGGTTGTTGGGAGAATAGGGTTAAAAATGAGTAGCCTGCAAGTAAAGTAAAAGTATATTTTAAAATAGACAGGGAGGGCAATTGGGAAGATTTACAAAGAAGCAATAGCTCTCTCATGGAATGCTTCATTTCCATAAAAATAAAAGATCTAAACAGCAGGTGTAGGGATGTTGGGTGCATAAGTCCTTGATCCATTACCCAAAACCCTGGGGCCAGGTGCATTTTGGAATTCAGACATTTTTCAGATTTTAGAAAGCCTACATGGGGCATATACCATAGATAATTTGAAATCCCCTATCAGGGTCAAAGCATCACCCCATAATTGGATATATCAACAGCTGTCAGCAAAGCACAAATACCACACAAGAAGGATAAAGAAAAGTCACACACTCCCTCACATCAGGTCAAGGCAGGTTTTGCAGCCAAATGACTCCTGGTGCCCACAAGAACAATCTGATTTTCCAAGCATCTTCGATTTCAGAATTGCAGCTAAGCCCTGTATCAGTCTCTAAACTTTTCAGGTTTTCTGAAATAGTTCCTATATTTTTTGAAAGAGCTGTTTTTAAACTATGGATAGGAGGGAACTTTGAAGTCTGTAATCATGAAAGATTATTATTAAAGTTTAGAACCCAGGCAGCAAACTGAAAGAAAGGGGACAGGCAAAAGGATGCCAAAGCAGCCTGGAGCGCTCATCCCCTGCAGGAAGGGGCCTGAGATCTGGACAGTGACCAGCTGCCCACTGCTGCCACACCATGTGGGTGCAGATCCAGCCTTCCCAGAGCTTCTGGTTTGTCAAAAGAAGCTGGGAATCTGGCATTTTCTAGAAATTTTGTTGATACCTAATTCAGGGGACTGAATTGGTACCCAGCAGACAGTTTGGTCAGGGAACCCTCCATTTGGAGTGCTGGAAGGGACCCAAAACATTTGTGACCTAAAGACTTGTTGTGAACCCTCTGAAATTTTGTGTACATGTACGTTTTGGGGCCAGATACAAATCTTCCATCAGATTCTCAAAGGAGTCTATATGCCTGAAAGGGTTAAGAGCCACTGGTCTGTCTAAATCTCCTCTGTTCTGTAGAGGAAGAAACCAACTCAGACAGGGAGAATGGCTTGCCTAGGGTCCCGCAGCAAATTAGTGGCAGAGCAGCACTGGGCCCCAGGTCTGTTGACTCCTGTCTTGGTCCCTGTGGCTGTGGGGTGAGCCATATGGAGAGGACCCTCACTGTCCCGTTACTCCACCTCCATTCCCCCTTGCCTTCAGCAGGCCCTGCTTCTGGCCCAGCCTGACACACTCAGTGGGCTCTCTCACCTGTGTGGGCAGCCCTGCCCGGGGCTGGGAGGTCAGAAGAGCTCCCTGGGTTTGCTGAGGTAGCTGGAATAGATTTGGCGTCGGTAGCAGGCCTGGGGAGACAGGAAGGAATGCACAGGGTGAGAGGGGCTGGGGGAATGCTGCAGAGGGGTCGAGGAGGCCATCCAGGGTGGGGGCCTTACCTGGCTGACTCTGCTGGGCCTGTGGCAGCAGGAACTGAGCAGGTGGCTGAAGGTGGTGACCCGGCACAAGCACCAGCTGCTGGAGCTGGAGGAGCTGCTGTATGTCCTGCCAGGGAGTGGGGTGGACAGAAAGATAGCCTGAATCCTGGCCTGTCTCCTCCCTCTGCATTGCCTGAACCCCAAAGGGTGCTTCACAGGACGGGCTGGCAGCAGGCATTAAAGGATGGAACACAGATCTCTGGACAGCATCCCTGAGCTAAGGGCACCCAAGAGACTTCTCCTAACCCTGGGGTGCTGGAGCATCCTACATGGGTCATTACAGGAGGGCTGGCTCTTTATTTACTTTTCTTTCTTGATGAAGTATTTGCCTTGTCTTATATTCCCCCAGAACAAATAGAATCATTTAAAAATGTAAATCAGACCAAATCTTCCCTCCTTTTAAAACACTCCCAAGGCAAATGATTTCATGTCTGGAATTAGCTTTAAAATACTCCAGCCCATAGTGGGTGAGTAAATTGGTAAAATCACTTTGGAAAACTCTTTGGCACTATTATGAGTTGAATTGTCACCCCCCCAAAAAAGAGGTATGTTGGAATCCTAACCCTCCCAGAACCCCAGAGTGTGACCTTATTTGGAGATACAGTCTTTGGAGAGGATCAAATTAAAATGAAGTCTTTAGGGTGGACCCTAATCCAGTATGACTATTGCCCATATAACACAGGGAAATCTGGAGACAGACAAACATGCAGAGAAGGAAGACCATGTGAAGAGATGCAGGGAGAAGACAGGTATCTATAAGCTGAGGAAAGAGGCCTGAACAGGTCGTTCCCTCCAGACCCTCAGGAAAAACTAACCCTGCCTACATCTTGATGTTCATGTTCCATTTGCATGTTAGAAGTTTGGGAGGTAGAGACCAGACAGTATCCAGGGGTCTTCTGGGGAGCTGGCTGTATCATATTCAGTTTCTCAGTTTGGGAACCTGTTATATGCATCTGCTCAGTTTGTGAGTCTCACTGAGCTGAATACTTACAATTTGTGTATTTTCCAGTATTTGTTATACTTCAAAGAAAAAAAATTTAAGGGGAATGAAGCAGAGAATGGGAAGGAAAAAAATCCAGCCCCTCCACCAGAAAAGTAAGGAGTGTAGATAAAACAGAATTGGCAAAATGTTGATACCTATTGGGCTGGGTGAAAAAGATATATTATTCTCTCTACTTTTAGGCTTGAACATTTCCAAAAGAAAAAACAAAACCCCCTTAAACACACACACACACACTGGCTTCTTGTAGCCCACAACAATACAATCAAAATTCCTCACCTGCCTGCTAAAGCCCTTTACACTGAGGCCTGTGCTAGTCTTCCTGACCTCAACTCCTACCTCAGGGCCTTTACACATGCTATTCCCTCTACCAGGCAGTTCTAGTTCTTTTACTCCTATCTAAGTCTGTCTTGTCACTCAGGTCCTAACACAGAGTTACCTCTTCAGAGATGCCCTCCTTGACCATCTGATCTAAACCAGCCCACTGCCATACCTCCCTCTGTCACCTCCATTTCACCTCCTTCATAAGACTTATCACTATCTTAATGTCTCTCTCTTTCTGTTTACTCTTTTTATGGTGTCTCCCTCACTGATATATCAGTTCCATGAGAGTGTGATCTTGATGGTTTTGGTCACCGCTGTAATCTCATCACCTAGAACAGCATCTGGCACCCAGTAGGTGCTCCATATATATTTGTTGAGTAAACTAAGATTCATACTTCATAATTTACTTAGCCACTTTTATATGTAGTATTGTACTTACAGACACAATATTTTTCCTTCTGGGAAATGGGGTGGAGGGCTGATCAATTGCTACCAATGCTATTATTATTCCAAAGACCAATTTAATGCTCCAGGAAGTGAACAAACTAGGAAAATATAAGCAACTTGACACAAAGGGCTCATTTCTGTAATATATAAAGAGCAATTATAAATCAACAAGAAAAAAATTACCCAATAGTAGTCTGGTCAACAGACAGATCTGGTGACTGCCCAGCAAAACAAATACAAACAGCTCTCAAGGAAAAAAGTTCAGATTAACTCACAATAAGGTAAACACAGCTACAACTGCACTGAGATACTATTTTTACCTATCAGATGGGCAAAGATAACAACAGTGCATGACACACTATGTTGGGGGCATGTGGGGAAACAAGTACTCTTGCACATGGCTGGTGAGAGAGTAATCTGGCAATGTCTACCAAAATTACCAATACACATAACCTTTGTCTTAGCCATTCCACTTTGAGGAATTTATGTTAGGGATATACTTGCACTTGTGCAAAATGACCTCTCTAGAAGGGTACTCCCAGCAGCAAGCAGTGTTTTCGCGAAAGAATGGAAACAAGCTGACTGTGCAGCAGAGAGGAATGGGCGAATGAATTGGGTGGAATACTATGCAGTCATCAAAAAGATCAAGCACACTCTTTGTCCTGATATGGAACAATCTCTAGGATGTCCTGTTGAGTAGAGAGCTGAAGAGGCAAAACAGTGGGTATACACTTGGTTCTTGTTCTAAACTATTAATTGAACCATAAACCCTCCACTGGTTTTCATCAAATTTGGAATATAATCCAGCTCCTTGCATGGCCCTGCATGACCTGGCCTTCCTCACCTCCCATGAATCTCTCACTGCCTAACTGTCATCCAGCCACATTGGCCTCCTTCCTGTCACTGAGGCCAAAGAGAAGTCCCCACCTCAGGGCCTTTGCACATGCTGTTCTCCCCCTCTTCTTGATCTGCACATGACTGGATCAAGTCTCATCATTCAAGTCTCTATCAAATGCCCCCCACCCTCCACCCTTGCTCAGAGAGGCTTCTCCTGACCACTCACCCTGACAAGGAATCTTCCTTTCCTCAGTCACCATCTTACATTATACTCTTCCTTCCTTCATAGCAGTTATCAGCTTCTAGTCTGCCTCCTCAAGAAAGGCTCGTGCCAGCTCCATGAGGACAGATTGTCTGCCTTATTCCTCACTGTATCCCATACGCAGAAAGCTGACTGGGCATGGTGGCTGGTCACCAAATGCTGGCTGACTAAAGGAATTAAAGAATGAGAGAGATGATTCCGGGTGAACAATGAGCTGGCTCAAGACTTGGGGTTAGCCAGTAGGAGGCCCCATTTCTCCACAATCTAGAGCCCTCTGACTCAGTGCCATCTGAAGCCACTAGGGGGCGCGTCAGGACCAAGTCAGCTGGTAGAGAAGTTAGCATAATGGGAGGTATACCAGCGCAAGCACCCAGCAGGGACTCTGGCCAGGATATTTAGTGGGTCATCTGCTAACCTGTGAGAAAAACAAGCACAGAGGGCTAGCACAGCCCATTAAGGCCAAAGGGAGGAGAAAAATTCTTGCTCATAGCTGTGTTCTGATCCCTGCCTTACCCCAGTGCAGTTGCCTAACAGGCGATCCATGAATTTTCAGTGAATGGGTAAGGGGAAACTTAGGACTGGTGGTGTATCGGTGCAGACTGTCTGTGCTTTGCCACAGGTGGGATCTAGGCCACAGACTGGGGGCAGAAAGACGGAGACACGTGGTTTATATGACACACGGCAGAACTGCAGTGTAATCGCCCACTTTCCTATCTGGGCTTGGTTCCACCTGGTGGGGAGGAGGCCACCTTGAGAAGGAACTAGAGGAGGCTGACGCCTCAGAGCTGCCCAGGTGCAGTGCCTCACTCCAGCGCACAGGGCCGACTCTCCATTCCCTGGTATGCTGTGGCAGCCACCACATGAACGTTGACACTCACTAGCCATCCCTGATATGGCAAATTATGACCAGTTCTGGACACCCCGTTCTCCCAAGATGTTGGCAGCCTATAGTTAAGTCTAGAGTAGGGAGGACAGGAAGGGATGGGGTCTGGGGGACCATGTAAATTACACTTCAATCGACTGTGTGCAAAATGAGGACAGCTTCCTGACCCTGGCTGGTTATCTACTGCCTGGGGAGGCAGTGAGTATCTGTCCTGGGGGCCACCTGGGTGCAGTTGCCCTCCCACCTGCCCATAATGGTGCAGAGAAAGCTCCCACACTGGGTGGGAGGGCAGACTAGGGTGGTGCAAGGGTCCTTTCCAACTGAGAACCTCGGGGGTTTGCTTCTTGCTGTGTAACTTGAGGGAAGCCAGCTTTCTCTTCTGGGCCTTGACTGTATAGGGTGACGATGCTCAGTGTCCTGGAATGACCCTGGCTCTGGAGACAGCCAGAAACTTGACTCTGTCCTTCACACACCGTGAGACCATGGGCAGTTCCTTACCCTCTGTAAGCCTCAATTTCCTCAGGTGACACCTCAATAATTCTTACCTCATGGGGCTGTTAAATAATAAATAAGACAACACATACAGAATGTTTAGCTTGATCACTGGTTCACTTCAGTGGTCCTCCATAAATGGTAGTCATCTTTACTGAGTCATTTCTCTCAGGGCCTCAGTTTTCTCATCAACAAAATGGGGGTAATAATGTCTGACTCTTCACTGGGTTGTTTTGAGGCCTGAGTAATGTTACCATTCTCAAAGCATTTTGGAAATCACAACAGAGTCCTCCAACACAGGCACTTGCTACCACTGGGCCCTCATGCCACCCCCTCCATGTCACCATGCTCAACCATAAGCTCTTGAGGCAGGGAGCCCCACTAGTCCATGTGACAGTCTGACAACTGACAACTTCCAGCTCCTGCCCAGAATCCCCACAGAGCTTCAGCCTCAAATATCCATCTGCCTATCTGATGTCTCCACTTGGGTGATGAATAGGCTCTTAGAACCCGACTGTGTCCAAAGTGAAACTCCTGGTTCCCCAGCCCCACCCTCCAAACACCCAGTTCCTCCCCTGTCTTCCCCAACTCGGGAAACCACCTCACCACCACCCAATCGCTGAAGCCCAAATCCCGGAGTCACCCTTGACCTATCGGACCATAGGAAATAGCATCCTGGACCCCACCTCCACCCTCTTCTTCCACCTGGATGCCTGCAAGGACTTCTCACTTGGCTCCTCGCTTCTACTCCATCCCCCACAGTCCGTTTTCCCTGCAGAGCTGAGGAAGCTTTGTAGACAGTCAGTTGGGGCAGGCCCCTCA